GTTGCAACTATCAAGAGAGTATATTCCCTTGCTAAAAATGGCTATAACAGAAAAAACTGAACCTCTACTACATTACCAGGACTAGTAAAAAATAGGGATTGAAATAAAAATTCAAGTAACCAAAAACTAGTTACTGATAGAGACAAAGATAAATCATCAAAAGACCATAGTAAATAGCGAAGAACCAACAAGGCCACAAAAAACACAAAGGCAAGCTCAACCAATACTCGAAAACAGCCAACCCACCATGGATTTACTGGCTTGTAGTAGAAATCAAATTTCTGGATTGTTGATTTCTGTTTTTCTGCATATAAAGATTCCAAAATTTATAACAGTAATGAAGCTCTATTAGTTTTTCTTGTAGAAATATAGATATATAGTATATATATGGATGAAAAAAAATTCAAGATGACTTTATTATTATAAAAATAATCAGTATTAATTAATGGCATAAATTTATCTAAGAGTTCATTCAAGATGACTTTGGAGTTGGATCATATCATTTATGGTTTCAAAGAGTTCGCCTTGTCGGCACATTCAGTTCAATTATAAATTTGTTGAAATCAGAGTTCGATTGGTCCTAGAGTTAATTCTATATTCTTGAGATTCCAATTGATAACGAAAACATTTTAAAGTTTACTGTATTTATTAAAATTTATCAAAGCCGGTTTACCGCGTTTCTTAAAATTTCAAATTATGATGACTTTGGTTCTTCCCCCTCCTACCATTGAGATCATAGTTGCCTCGAGGCATTGCCCTCACATAGTGGGATAAAAGATCGATGTTGTCATTATTCTTGTTGTAGTATCTCAAAAACATTTTGGAGATTCAAAATCTAAATTAATTAAAATGTAGTGATTCATTGGAATCTAGCCTAAATGAAGCCAGAACGAATGCTTCATTTCATTTTTCTTTTAAAAGAAAATGAAACTTCATTAAAACTACCATCTACCTCTCCCAGCCAGCCGATTCCAAATAACTCCAACCGAACTCCTGAAAGTGCAACGCCTCAATACTAGCGCAGCCTACACCTTAGCCGGTGCAGTCTCGATGAAATTAAAGACCTGCAATGAGGTTAAACATCACAGCATATAGTATTGCAGGAAATCAAAGCCAAATTATCTGAGATATCATCTCTGTCTTTCATTCTGGCTCAAGCTACAGGATCATACATTTATAAATATGAAGCTTAGTATAAAGAGAATCAGAATCAGTTATACATCAATGGTGTAGATGGCTGTAGCAGAAAATCTAGGGTGAAGACAAAACTATCTAAAAAGGTCAGAGCAGCTCAAGTGGAGCAATGAGCTGAAATATGAAGAAGTGTAGTAACTTGTTAAATTCTCTTATCATCTCCCCTCAAGTGGGCAATGGGAGGTTGAACTGTTAACTTGTGCCTAAGTTGCTCAAAACAAGTGGAACTGAGAGATTCGGTAAACAAGTTGGCTGGTTAATCCTGGGAGGCTATGTGATGAATTGTAATATGCTGTAGTTTGATATTGTCTCTAATAAAATAAAAAGCAATCTCGAAATGCTTGGTATGAGCATGAAAAACAGAATTGTTAGTTAAAGAGAGAGTTGAAACGTTATTACAAAAAAAACTTAGTCGATGTAGGTAGAGAAATGCAGAATTCAAACCAAAAATGTCTTAACCAGATGTTGTCGCACGTAGCAATAGCTAAAGCTCGATATTCAGATTACGTAGATGATCTAGCAGTACTGGTTTACCTTTTAACACCACAAGAAATCAATGTTGTGTCAAGAAAGGCACAATAACCGGGTAATGGAGAACTGATCAATGGTGTCTGCAGCCTAATCAAAGTCAGATAAGCGTATAATTCAAGCTTTGAGGGAGAAATAGGCAAACCAAATTGTAACATGCCGCAGATGTAACAAATTATTCATTTTAGCTGTTGAAAATAGAGTTGAAAAGGGTTGTGCATATGTAGTTTATAGCAAAAAAAAGTATGGTCTACTAATTGTCAAGTACTGTAATGATCCAACAAGCAGCTGATAATATTCAAGTTGAGGGTAGGTTTCATACGCTGCATCTAAGATACGTAATTTGGTGGGTAAAGGAGTGAGAACAAGTTTACAAGTAGACATTCCATATTTGTTATGTAATTCAGCAGATTCATTAAGTATTTCTCCGAACTGAATTACCACTACATTGGCACAACACCACAGGTCATTAAGCCAAAACAAAAATGATTGCCTTCTTCTAGCTCCAAGTCTAGCACCACTTCCTCAAGCCCTAGTCACTATAACTTCCAATTGGTTCAGAGAGAGCGCAGGGTGGAGAGTCAATTCAAAGATCGCATGTGTGTCTACATTTCTGATGCTAACTTTGATGTAACCCAATTTGTTAGGTTAATCATAGAGGTCATAATATAAGAGTGTAAGGTTTTAAACATGGAATTATTGCAAGGCCAATTCTAAGAAATAATTAATAAAAAAATATTTTTGATTGTCCTGGATGACATCTAAAATGACTATCATAATCAATGGGTTGAGCTGAATACATTATTGAATTGTGGTGGAGAACGAAGTGCGTAAGTTGTTAGTACAGGCATTATAAGATTAACATAAATGATTGTCACACATACCATTTGTTATATAAAACAATTAACTGATAAATATAGTTAAGAGTTGTTCAGAAGGGCATTTGCATAAAGTACAGAAGTTCTTACAGGCCTTGTCAAAATTAGCAAGGATATATTAAAACATCATGGTGGGCTTTCCTTAGCAATAGCTATGCTTGAAGGCGTGATGTGTCTTGAGAATGATGAAGTGAAGTGAAATGTTGTGGTTGATAGTTAGATATGACAGTTGGATGTTACAAAGAATAATATCTTGTCGGCTTTTAGACTAAGCTATAATTATTTACCTTCTCACATGAAGTAATATTATGTTTTTTGTGCTATATACTCAAAAAAATTATGTTATGGAGAATGATACATTGATTTAGTTGTGAATGGAAAATGAATATATCTTTTTTTATTAGAGAAGAAGACTTGAAACCCATGGGTCAGAGACATATTTAATGAGCTAGTTTGGAGATACTTTTTCAAAAATATGGTGGAGTTAATCGTTGATTTAGAAAAACATACTATATGGATTATGGAGGTAAAGTAATATGTAAAATGCATGATCTGATGCATGTTTTTGCGAAGTTCATTATGGAGAAAGAGTCCTTAAACTTCGTAGATGTTCAAGAGTGGAAAGATATCTCATCAATTGTCAAATATTTGTTTATACCATATTCTCCAAAATTAAGTCCATGCAATCAATCAATCATTCCAACATTTTGGTTGAGAATATTTATCCACCCTTATTATTATGTAAAATGTTGGAATGATTGGTTGATTGTATATATAGAATTTTTAAAAATATGGTGCGAACAATGTTTGGCAATCAATGGATATCTTTTCACTGTTGAGTACCTACAAAATTTAAGTACTATTCCACATGATCAACTCTGCAAGATCATACAACAGATCGTTCACCTCTATATGATATGCTTTTCGGAATAAATAGTTCAACTTCCACCACAATTTTGAAAAGGGGCCTCATAACTAACTTATAAAATATATCTCTACTCAAGAATTCCAAATCTTCTTCTCTATCAAAAAGAATGTGTCAATCTGCCATCCATAACTAAATCAATATATCATTCCCCACAATATAATTTCTTGGGTATATATCACAAAAGACAAAACACTACATCATATAAGAATATAAATATGCATAGCTCAGTCTCAAAGCTGTCAAGATATTATCATTTGCAACGTCCACCTAACAAATCTCACCATTAAGCATAGCTTTCCACTTAACTTCATCATTTTCAAGTCGTGTCATGCCTCTAAGTATAGCTATTACTAAGAGAAGCCCATCAAAACACTTATTATATCCTTGCCAAATTTGTTAAGATTTGTAGGCTTTTTTGTACCTTTTGCAAATATTCTCCTTATGAACAACTCCCAATTATCTTCTTCAAATAATTGTTTCAAATAATGAATGGTAAGTGTGGCCATTATTTTTGTTGATTTTGTACTACGTGTGCAAATAACAACTACAGTTCCTTCTACATGACAATCAAAAAATATCTTCAGATCATCCCACTTATTTTAATTTTTATTCCACACGTTATCCTGGACAATAAAATAACTTTTTTTCCACTGATTATTTCTAAGAGTTGGCCTAGTAGTAGCTTCATGTTTAAAACATTGCATTCTTATTTGATAGTTGCCTCTATGATTAGCCTTACAAGTCGAGTGACATCAAAGTCAGCATCAAAAACATAGACCCACTGATGTGGAACAATCCATACGAAAATGACTTGCTTAAGAAAGTTTGCACTTGTAAATTTTAGAGAGCAATGTTAAGCGAAATCCTCTATTACTGTAAACGATGAGATAACATTAAGGTGATAAAATAGCTTAGGTCTAAACACATGCGAGAGGTTGAGATCATTAAATAACCAACAAAGTCTTACTTTGCATACATGAGTGGTTTCAACGAGAAATTCCAATGCTAACAATAAGATTAATATTATGAAGGGCCTCTCTCACAACTCATTCAAATACTAGGTTTAGCGGAGGCGATAAAACATGCGCTTTGTGAATCAAATTATAACCACGAGTAGAGTTAACTCAGAAGATAGAGAGTGAGTGAAGAGTTTACCCAAAATAAAAAGGAGTTATGAAGCTATAACGATGGATGGAATGAAGGGGAAGCAGCCTTCAAACTTTTGGAATCACTCAGCAACAATGGAAGTCTCTTTGGGCGGCGGGAAGACACTAGATCTCCTCAGGACAGCTGCTAGGACTGGTTCTGGACGGCTGGACAGCACCCTAGTTTGCTGTGATCAACAGGATAGCAACCTATTGAACTCAGGGGAACTCCTAAACAGGAAGAATTGCTGTCCCTGAGATCTGGACAGCAATAGTCGCTCCCGGGATGGCTGGACGTCGGTGGGCTGTTGCAGGAATTTTTTTTTTAAGCTTCAAGTTGCTGGGAAACAAATAATCCCTGCTGGAATTCTCTGGCTGCAATCCTTGCAAGGCAGAAAGCTCCCGTAAGATGAAGTTTGGGAGAGATCTGTGGAAGGGAACCTGTGTGCACGGTATGGGGGGAGTTCCGGCCAACAGGGGAAAGAAGGCAGTCTTGATTTCAATCTAGACTAATGGGTTTGGAGGTCTTCAAATTAATTCCATTAGGAATTAATGAAAACCGGAACAATTCAAGTTTTTGTATTCAGCTATTTTATTTCCAACAAAAAAACTGATTAGAAAATTCGAAATGATCCAATTAATTCCAATTTGGCGGGGCTTGATTTGGGAATTAATTAAGCAATAAAGTAATTCAATGTCAGCTAATAGAGGTGGCTGAAAACTGAAGAAAAAAAAATTTCCAAGTGAGGCTCACAATTAAGGAGGCGGCTGAATTGGGGCCATATTTTGGACTTATTTCCAATTCAGGAGGCTGAAGGAAATTCCATTCCGTATCTTAACTATTTGATTAATTCTGGAATTGATTTCAGAATTAAAAGATTAGGAAAGATCTGTTGAGAGAAACATTATTTGAAATTAATTTCAAATCCAAATAGGATGGGGCATTAAATGAGCAATCAACGGGGGAAATCCCTCATGGGGGCCGGCGGCATGGTGAGAGGGGGGGAGGGAAATTAGGGAGGGATGAGGCGTTTTCCAATTGAGTCGATGCCACCTAGGATGAAAAATTAATAACTCCACATGTCATGAAATTTGGATTGGATCAATTCGAAAACTTTCCTTTTTAGGAATTTTGCAAAAATGAAAAGTTTGAATTTCAAATTTGAAATTCAAAAAAATCGGTAACTCCTTTATTTATTGCTAGGCCACAATCAAGGAACTATTATGATGATTGACATCTTCATCATGGCTTGGAGCAAGGTGGTGGCCGGTGGCCAAAGGAGGAAGAGGGGCTTGCCATCAGTTTTGGGGATTTCTTGGTGGATCTTGGGTTGTGGTGGAGAAGCTAATGAGTAACGTGGTGGATGATGGGAACTCGGGTAGGGCTTGGCGTGGGGAGGAGGAAAACGGGATTTGGAGAAGAAAACAATAAGATAAAAATAAACCACGAGTCAAGGACGCTTCCAATGACTGGCGAGTATTGCTTTTGCCCTCACCTTGGGCTTTCCCTAGAACTCATACAGAGATCTAGGAGAAAAGAACTCACTAAGAGATATTCAAGAAGGAACTCAGAAAGAGAACACAAGAGCAAAATTTTCATCAACAATTCATGATCTCAATACAAGAAAGCTAGCCTATAAATAGGCCTCATGAGAAGAAAAATAACAAAAATTGAAATGCCCTTCGGGCTACAACACTACATGACCACCCATAAGGGTATAAAGGGAAAAACAACAATATGAAATAAACTAGTACAAAAACATATAAATAAATAGCTCAAGATCGTAGTCCTCATCACCCACATACAAAGTTGGAAATGACTCTCCACCCTGTGGTCTCCGCAAATCAATTGGCTGAGTGTAGTTTTGCGCATTCCGCCCATTGCAACTATAAGAAGCCTCAAAATTTTCTCGTTGTTGTTAGCATCTACATAGTCTTTGCATGTGGGTCTATGTTGATACAACATAAGAGTGTGTTTGAGGCCTGCAATAACAAGAGATCTATGACACTGTTGATTCAGAAATTAAAACTGTGTATTTCATCTGATACTATGCAGCAATGAATTGCTACTATGCATTAATGAGAGTCATAGTGTTGTGTAAAAAAGTGTAAATTTGCAGAACATTTAGAATAAAGTGTTAAGATGACGTGATTTTTTAGAAGCAAATTGCGATGATTTGATCTGAAAAAGTGCCAAAAATTACAACTCGTTTATCTTGTGACCAGTTATCACAACAAACAAAAAGATGATGAATACGAAATAGGTGAAATGTAATTGCCTTATCAAAACAACTAAGAAGTCTTCTCCTCCATTCGCATCCATTAATATAACGAAAATATAACTAGGGCAAGCGACAAGAGGAAGTGTGTGATAAAGCTTAAAGTAAGAAACAACAATGAATTAAACTACTAGAATAAATTAAGAGCTAAGATAATTATGAGCAGTAAAAACTATGTAGCGCTGGATTAGGACCATGCATTAGAAGAACTCGGTTGGATAAACAGAAGTTAGAGAGTACCATTTTAACATGGTATCCAGATTAAGTGACTTTCTTCGAACTTAGAAGTCAAAGTTGTCGAGTACGTCGTCTACTTTATAGGTAGCATCCTTCAATGCGTAGAGCCAAATTTTGATGCCAGTAACGGTGATCTGTCATTTACGAGCACATTTTGGATACTCTCTAAAATCCTTCCCATCTTGTTTAGATTAGCTTCAGTGCCAAAGACAACATCAAGTTGCTGGGTAGCAAAGAAGAGGAATGTGCATGATTTGCAAAAAGAGAATAACGAGAATGGATTCGGTAGACATGGAGGAATTGAGATGGAGAAGCAGAGAAGTTTATTCTATAATGAAGCAGTAGCGCTCATGCACTAAAAATAGATTGTCGTAGTCGGCCGACCTTGGCTTTATTGGGTAAGTCATTTATTAGTTTGTTGACGGTTTTAACTCGCATTAGTTTTTCTCTTTTGAATCTCTTCTTGTGAGTTTTTTTTCCTTTTCTGATTAATTTCTTTTTCTAATTATAAATTTTTTTTTAAATAATTGTCTTATAGTTAATGAAAATAAGATTTGTTTCTAATTTTTTCAATATATATATATATATATTTCCAATATTGCTCCTATATATTTAATTTGGCTTTTTTTAATTTATAAATATTTTAAAAAAATTATATATGTAATACTTAAATTTATATATTTAGTGGCATAATATTACAATGTAAGAGGGGAGAGTGAAACCTACATCAGTTCTCACCTTCATAAGAAGAACTTGGCTCGTATAAAGAATAGTAGGAGTACCTTTTTTATTTTGTTTTCTTGTTTGAATGATTTATATTGAGCTCCGTAGTCGAGGTCGTCGAGTACGTCCTTGATTTCATAGGTGGAAGGACTATAGTCAATAAATAGTTATAAGAGGATTATAATTAGGCGATAGTGGTAAGAGGGTTGTGCTCAAGCTAGTGTTATTGATTGGAGGATTGTAGTCGAGCGAAACTAGTTCGAAACTAGTTTGAGGGCTAGAGTTGGGCAATGATGATTGTAATAGGGTGATGCTGGATAGGTGACTGTAATTAATGATGATGTTTAGAGGCATATACTATTGTCACTATGTCGAAGTGTCATAGTCAAGTGGGCAGGAGGTCATAATTAGGCGACTATGTTTGGGTAAGTAATAAAAGAATGGTGATTGAATGATTGTAATCAAGAGATGGGGGTTGGAGGATCATTGTTGGATGATAATAGTCAGAAGATCATAGTCGTGCAATTAAAGGTTGAGATATAGTAAGTTGGGTGTAGATGTTGGGAGATTGTAGTCACTAGTTAGCCAACAATGATCAAAAAATTATAATCATGATATGATGATGGGAGATTATAGTCGGGTGATAGTAGTTAGAGAATCATAGTTAGATGATAAAGGTTGGAGGACTGTAGTCGAGCAATGGTGATTGGGAGGCCATAATTAGGTGCTAATGGTTGAAAGATCATAGTGGGGTGACGTTGGTCAAGAGATTATAGCTACGCAATATTAGTTGGGTGACTCTATTTAGCCAATGTCGATCGAAAAACTATAATTTGATGATATAAGTTGGAGGGTCGTAATTTGGCAACGTTGGTATGAGGTAATGAATATAATTTTTGAAGTTTTTAATTCTAATGTCCATCAAGATTTGTGTTTGATCAAGCGAAATTTTTGGTGACATATCAAGTGTATTTCAAATAAATCCTAAAATTTAATGAAATTCTTGAAATCATTGAATCTAACAATTTTACCGTATTGTAAAATATGTTTTTTATCTAAAATAATAAAAAAAATTGCAACTCAACTTAAATGAGTTAATTTTTTTTTTATGTTAAAATTTAATTGTATTAAAATATTTTTCTTGAAAGAAAGATGGGAATTATGTGGAGTTATTCAATTAGGTAATCTGTAATTATTTACTTAGTGATTAAACAAAATGTAATTACTATATTTATTTATTTTTAAATATTTTCTTTCTATGTTGTAATTAGTGTAATATTTTTTCTTAGTTTAGAAATAGGAGTATACTTTTTAATTGTTTATTTTATAATTCGTATTCAAATTTTTATTCATATTAACTTCTCCATAAATTTTACTTAATTATAAAATGAAAATATAATAAACAGAAGATAAAAATTTAACTGTCTTATTTTTTGTAGCATATTTATTTTAATTTATAACATATTATGAGGAAATATACACTAATTTTTCAATTAACATTTTATACAAATAATTCATACAATATTTGGTGCAAGATTAACATTCAATATAAGCAATCAAATATCAATATTTATGTTATGTTTTGATAAGGAGTAACAAGCTTCAAATGATTTTATATGAAATTTTATGCTATATTTGAAATACCAAAAAACCACTTCAAATAGAAATATACTTTCCATCAAGTCTATACATTATTATCATCTATCTCGTTCATATTATTCAGGTCAAGGAGATAATGTTTAAGTGGTGAATGAAGAATTTTTATAATTAGTAATTCTTCTACACACATCCAGTTATATTTGTCGGTCATCATAAATGTGCTTCAAAGTTTATTTTGTTATTATATCACCATAGTCATTTTGTCAATAATTGGATCTAAAATTGAAAGAAATCAATTTTCCTATAAAGCTCAATTTTTAAAATCATAGATGTACTTTTAGGTGTTATGAGGAATCACATTGCTCATTATTTCATGTAATGATATATGTTTCCATCATGTATAGATTAAAAGTTAGCACCAACATTTATTTTCTACTATGATAAACAGACACTTCTCCTAAAAGAGACATACAGTATCCGATACTTTTTGGGTATATAGCACAAAGGATAAACACTGCTTCATGTGAGATCATTTGCAACGTCCAACCGCCACATTTCACTATCAAGTACAGCCTTCCACTTCACTTCATCATTCTCATGGCGCATCATGCCTCCAATCGTAACTATTGCTAAGGGAAGCCCGTCACAACGCTTTAGTATATCCTTGCCGATTTTGACAAGGGATGCAGGCTCTTCTGTATCTTTTGCAAATGCTCTCCTTCTGAATAACTCCCAGCTATCTTCTTCAGATAACTGTTCTAGACAATAAATGGTATGTGTGGTCATAATTTTTGCTGCTCTTATACTACGTGTGCTAACAACTACTGCACTTCCTTTTCCACAATAATCCAACAATGTCTTCAACTCCTTCCACAGATACAAATTTTCATTCCACACATCATCCAAGATAATCAAACACCTTTTTCCACTGATTATTTCTCGGAGTTGTTTCACCAGCACGTTCATGTTTACAAAATCGCAAAATTGCTCGGTGGCTACCTCTATAATTAGCCTCACAATGCGGGTAACATCAAAGTAAGCATTAGAAACATAAACCCATATGCGAAGTTGGAAATGACTCTCCACCCTATGGTCCATATAAATTAATTGGCTGAGTTTAGTTTTTCCCATTCCACCCATTGCAACTATAGGAAGCACCATAATTTTTTCATTGTTGCTAGCAGCTGCATAATTGATCAAGGAACTCACTATCTCTTCTTTATCTTTTTCTCTGCCTATGACGGTTTCTTCATCAACATAAGAGTGTGTTTGATGACTGCTATAATCAGGGATCTGTGGCACTCTGTTGATTGGGAAACTTAATCTGATATCTTCTGCTAAATCCTCCATTTTTCTTATAATAATATTCAACCTCCAGCATAATTTGAAGCTAGTTATGGAGTTGGAAAAAAAACAGGAGTACAATACCTGGTGCAGAATAAAGACAATCAGAGATTGAAGCTCTCAAGTTACAAGCAAGAAATTAAGAACATAAGTATCGAAACCGTCGAGCAAGATAAGAACAGAGAAAAAATGAATAACATAAAAATATTCATTGTATTGGTACTACGGATTAATGAGAGTCATATAAATTTCGTTGATATAAATTTAGCTATGCTATAACTCATGCTGAGAACCCTCATATTAATGACAAAATAATTAAGAGAGCATAACCAATTGATGGAACCCAAAAGAAAGAGCACAACTTGTACTTTCAAGGGGTGAAAATTCCTTCAGTCACATCATAATAAGGTGAATTCAAAACAATCGAAACCCAATACTAATTGAATGCTAATGAATACTAAATGTTGAAGTTTTTCTTGTTTTTATGTGTGAACAGGGTATTCATTCGATGCCACCCACGAAAGGCACTTAGTTGGGCCCCACTTAAGAGGCACTGCCGCTCGAGAGGAATCGAACACGAGTTGGAGGATTCCCAACCGTACTCGCCCACCAACCAAACTAAACAACAGTGAGTCTAAATGTTGAAGTTAATAGTATGCTTTACCTACCAAAAGTGTAACGTCTCGGTCATAGTTAATGAAGATGTTATAAGTATTAGATCTTATGAAGCAAGATATTATGAAAAACCTTGTGATTCTTCCCATGTTAATTCGTAACCTTTCATTTTATTTCATCTATTCAATTACTTTCAATCTTAGCCTTTCATTTATATTGAACGCAAACCACATCACATATCTTAGCATGCAGTTCATGCTGTAAGAGTTGTGTAAGAGGGGAGAGTGAATCCTGCATCGATCAGTTCCCTCTTTCATAGGAAGAACTTGGCTCGTACAAAGAATAGTAGAAAAAGTACCTTTTTTATTTTGTTTTCTTGACTGATTGACTTCCGTCGAGCTCCGTAGTTGAGGTCGTCGAGGACGTCCTCGATTTCATAAACGGCGTCCTTGAAAGCGGAGAGCCATCTAAGCTTCCTTTTCTCTGCTTCTGCGAGCGTAGGTTGGATAGCCTGCAAAATCCTTTTCACCTTGTTTAGCTCATCTTCGATGCCAAACTCAACACTGAGTTGCTCGATGGCAGGAGAGATGAGCTTGTTTAGGATGTTCGATACTAAAGTAGAGACGGAGGAACAGAGATTCTGAGACATGAAATCGGTTTGAGATGGAGAAGCAGAGTTTGAACTCTCTTACCGAAGATTGAAGAAACCAAGGAGCTGCTATGAAAGAAAAAAAGTAAGGAAGAGATGAGCCTTATGCCGTCATTTTTATAGCATTAGTGCAGCTTTTATATAAAGAAATATAATTTGAAAGGAAATAATTATTCTCCTTAATTTGGTGTTAAATATGTGAATTAATTCAAAATAAATGTCAATTTAATACATCCAATAAAAAGTAAAATGAATTAACCCATAATAAATGTTAATTAAATTATAGATAAAAAATATAAGAAATTGAAAATAAGGAAATAATCTATGTTGTGAAAATTGGATTGAACATCCAATCAGAAAAATGAGAGATTCAAGGAATGATTTGATCAAGATTAAAATGGATGATATAATAAATTTTAAAATTATTAAATAAGATCTAAATACTATGATAATAATAATAATGTTATAATTATATAATCATATAATTTTGTAACAAAAAATAAATAGAGTTCATGCAAAATATTTTTTATAATTTTATATTTAAATATATTCAACCTATAAATATGATTTTTAGTTTAAATTTAGTTTTTATGTAAGCATACAATTTAATATTAATTATTACTATTTTATGTTACATATTTAGACATAATTTATATATATAATTGATGAGATATGAGGGACATTCATGACATTGTTTTGCTCTTTTTCTTGAACAAAATGGAAGTCAATGGCAATGTGTTTCATATATGAATGAAAAATTAGGATTGCACATAAGTACGTATATTTCACCGATATTGTCACAATAATAGATTGTTGACATACTAGGTAGAGATATGTCGATATCAATAAGTAAATATTTAACCGATTGATTTCAATATTAATAGAGGTAATTGCATGGTATATTGCTTTGATGAATGAGCGTGCGGCCGTCATTATTTGTTGGAGGCTTGGAGCATCGGGAAATCGCATTGTGACAAGGAAAATAATGTGATCACTTATGGAGATTCATTATAGTTATCATAAGATTGCCACATAATATATTTTATTAACTATGATTTCAAAAAAAAAAAATCTCAATTTTTTTATTAGTAAAATCACGAAACGCCTATGCGAGTAAAGAAATTTTATAATTATTACGAGTATGCCTTACAAATATATTTCATATATTTTTTAGGAGGACTACGTACAACTTCATGATGCACAAAATCAAGCTTTTGTCTATTGAATCAACGCACCATTTATACTATAATTTATAATCCCAAGTAGTTGGAGGAATGTAAAGAGGGATTAGGCTTACAAACCTTATATATATATATAATGCTTAGAAGTATTGAGTCAGTAAGACCATTTTCGGCTGAATTTCATACCATCGTATGTCGTTCGCCATTTAAATTCCAAATCACACGTTAAATTCCTGTAGGTGAACATTGCGACGCTAATATTGACGTCGGACTGTTCACCTACGATAAAAAATTTGTTGCGGATTTGCCAAAGAAGTGCGCGAAAGAGGAGAAAAGCATGCCAAAGATGGTTATCTTCAGAGGAAGCACACAAAAGTAAAAGAAATGACGTTCGATTGGAAAAAAATGTCTGTATTTAAAGTTTTACTATATTTTAGAGTGGAAATGAATTTTTTCTGTTGTAGATGCCCTAAGTAAAAAAGGTTGTTGCTATTGTTATCCATCTATGTTAATTAAAAATAATTTAAAATTTTGTAATATGTTTTTATTTTTTAAAAATTTATTAATATTTCTTTAATATATGTGTAATAAACTAGTATTATATAAATAATTATATTTGTGGAAAAAAACATTATTAGAATAAATTTGACCGAAGATTTTTTAGTTGAAAAAAAAAAAAAAAAAACTATCCAATGCAACTTATCCAACTTGATCATGTTATCCCTTACATGTTTTATTTATATTATTTGTTGCTATTATCTTCATAGGAGAGTTCTCAGCCTCAATTGGCAAGAAGGCCTTTTCTAGAATCCCGAGTAATACAGGCCATGTGCCTTCTTAGCTTATCACTAGATGCTTTTGCTCATGTAATTTTTTATTTTTTATTTTTTTTTTTCTTTTTGTGGCCTTAATTGTACATCCTTTTTAAGCTCAATGAAAGTGAGGCTTGCCCCAATAATTTTCAAAAAAAAAAAAGCTGTCCAATCATTTGCCAAAATCTGCAAGTCCATTTTTGGTTTCTTCATTACTTTGGGTCTTCAAAGATGACCCTCAACCTCAACCCTAGCTAGTTATGGTTGACTGAGTGATTAAAAATTGCCCTTTCCTATTAGTTATTTTTCTAACCTATTCTTCAACATGAAGCAATAACTCTCCACACCAACTTGCAAAGTTCATCTTCCTTTTTAGCCCTATGCCTCATCATCTTCACAATAAATGATTAACAACTTATACAAGCTTGAAAGTTCAATATCAATAGCATCAATATTATTGAAAATTGTTTAGTAACACTCTTCTATTTTATTTCTTGATTCCAATCCAAATTTAAAAATAAAAAAAATTAATATTTTAAATCCACCACTAGACAGTTCCTAACTTCTTAAAAAATAATCTTAGAAGATCAATCATTATCAAGCCCTTATGACTCTAATGCATAGCACCATTTCTCCAATCAAATTTAAGGCACTTATACCTCCTAATATTCCACATAAGCATCAATAATATTCACCTGCATTTTCATAATAGTATTTCAGAGCTTTAAACATTCTATAACAACTTTTAGAAGAACACATCCAAGAAACACAAAATCTAGTGAAATAAAAATGCCTCATGAAAATTTGTTAACATATATATGATGCACTACTTCGCACAATTGGATTGCTCTGCTTCTCATATGCTACATAACAAACTTAGACATGCTATAGTCTTAACCGTTGGATGTCTTCTATCATACCATCACCATCCTGCCTTAACCACCTATTACCTTTTTCGTTATAAATACTCTTGTATGTTGTAAGAGTGATAGAGTAGAATACAATGTACATTATGATTCTCTTTTATGCTTTGCTTTACCTTTGTTATAGGTTTAAGGTTTAAAGACTCTTATAAATTCAGAAGAAATAAATCAAAACAAGACAAAAATAACATTTTAAAAATTACACAATAAAAATTTGCTAGATGTCATAACTTTTCTACTTTTGTGCCATTTAAATGTCAAAAAACTTGTAAAACTTCATCATACGTTATAAACATAATGGTGCAACTTGCAAGGAAGAATGATAACAAAAAGGAGGTAGCACAAAGCGTGTAATCTCTAGAATTGAGAGTCATTACTATTATGATGGAGAAGCTCCGCTTAGAGGATTTGATTGGGATGAAGGGAGTCAGAAAACTAGTATTCCATATTTTTGATTGTAGCAGGAGCTACGACTTTACATGGTACAAAGATAAAATGTTGGCGGAAGAGGGTTCATTGCTCCATTTTTTAGAAGCTGTAGGTTTACACAGGATGAAGGGAGAACATTGGCGGGAGAGCATTTCAAGTATTTAAATTAATGGGGAATCAAAGAATAAAGAAGAAAAGACGAACGAGTTAATAGAGAGCTAAACAAAGTGATAGAGATGATATATTAAAAATTTTAGGACAACATAGGAGTAAATAAAAAATTTGAAGTAGTAGATATGATAATAAAAATATTTTGAAAAATATACACATGATTTCTTTATTAAAATAAATGATGGTTGCTCCGAATAATAGTGTGACTCTCAAAACAATCAATATCTTTGTTTTTTGGACATTTGAGCTATTTAACGCAAATTCATATGCATATTACATATGTAAGATTCAAACTCAAGCCTCTTTTGATAGCTTAAGTTCCCAACCAACAGGAGATGTGATGCGTAAGCAATCAGCGTTAAAAAAATTACAACTAGTGCACTGGATTTCCTTGATGATTTGATATGATTTCTATCTAACTCATCATGATATGTTAGTTGTGAGCTTTGAATATAAACTAAGCGATCTTGATGTCAAAACTTGAGTGTAAAATTTATAATAATTTAACTTGAATAGTTCAAAAGTTCCAAAAAATTTATTTATATCTATGCTTTCTTGGCCTAGAGCTTGGCAACAATTCCTGCAAAGTCACGAAAGATTATTACATGCATAGTTTGAACAAATAAAACTGTTCAATTTTGTGATTATGAAAAGCAAAAATAATTGCGCCTCTCCAGACATATTAATTATTCAGTACAGACGCCGAACAGTGTCCGGAGACTAACCAGAATGCGCCACATAACTGTGCTAGGTACCATGGCTCGGTATTGCTCGGGTCCGCAGAGAATAATCTCTCCTCCAGACTGCTTTCTTAGGGGCTGTTTGGCAGCAAGTGGGATTTAACTTTAGTGAGATTTAATAAATCCTATAAATCCTAAGGGTGTTAAATCTTGAAATCTATTTGATATGACAAATATTAAATCCTGTTAAATATTGAGAAATTGTTTGGTTGCATATTTTAGGATTTATGACACTTAGAGATTTAAATCTGAATAAGATAATTATAAATTAAAATATATATATAATTAAAAAAATAACGTGTTATGAATTTAATAACATGTTAAGTACAAGTTACTCATTAATTATTATTTACACTATTAGTTATATTTTTAATAATATATATTTTAAGTTCTATAATTTAAGATAATTATATTAATATTTAATTACTAATTATATTACTAATTATTTAATTAATTTAAATTAGATAATTAATCTATGCACTAATAATACTATTATATTAGGATTTTTACATACCAAACATCCAAAACATTTTTATTTACTTATCTCACACCTAAACTTTAATTTTTACTATTTTACCACCCTAATGACTTAACCCTCGTCAAATATAACACTCTGTCTACTCCCGTCAAAGCCAAGTCGCGAAAACAACCTTTCGCGGGCATTAAATATCTCTGAGCTGCTCTCTCGCGTTGGCTTCGCTGGCCGGAAACATCTCCGAGCAGCTCTCTCGCGTCGCGTCTTCTCCGAACAGCTCTCTCACGGGAAACATAGCAGCTCCCCTTCTCTTCGAGCATCTTTCCTTTCCCGTCTCCTATCGGCCTCCTGTAATCTCAAAAGGCAAAGTAAACACTTATCCTCCATATGCTTTTCTTCTTTGCATGAGTATAGCTTAGGTTTTGCAATGGCATATGCTCTGTTTGCAGTCATCTTTCTTGTAATATGAATGACGGACAATTTTCATTTCAATTTCTTTCGTAAGATCCAAATCTTATCTAAAATGATGAGTGGGAAGTCTATTGGTGAAAAATATTTGCAAACTTGGGGCATGAATTAAAATAGGGTTTTTTTACATACATAAAAAAAAAAAAAAAATTGTTCGAACTTTCTGTGATCTCTGAAGTGCAACTTCTTGAAACATTCTTGCTTGTTGACAAACCTGTAGCAGTCGATATGCTAGACTTACACGATTCTGCAGCAAGACCCAGAATCCCTCTCATTTGATTCATTTTCCTGAACCGAACTCATACATCCACCATCAGTGTACCGGCATTTGGAGTTTCTTGCCAACAAACAACCTGGAGAGCAACTGGAAGATGGAATGATATTTTAGAAAGCTAAATAATATTTAGGTGATAGGTGTGTAAGTAAGCAAGTTTAGATGTTAAATGAGAAAATAAGTATATAAAAAATTTTAATTATTTACTTAATTATTAATATTGTAAATTGTATTAATTTAATCAATAATAACTTAGATGCATCTAGGGTTTAGGGTTTGCCTTTCGTCTTATGTTTTGGGGAAATTATTAGGTCCGGATATCGGACTTAGAAAAATGTTTTTTTAGATCCGGATAACAATTAAAATATTCTCATGTGAAATGCGTTTTGATTGAGCACTTTAACTGTATTTTAATTATGCTTTGAATTGGCTTTGACTCTACTTTGACTGGGCTTGACTGCGCACGAGTCCGGACCTCATAATTTCCCCTGTTTTCGTGGTTGTTGTGCCGCTTCGTTGCTTCTAGGCATCGTTGCTTCGCAGGAGGTGTAGGGTTTGCCTTTCATCTTCGTTGCACGCGTCGCTTCTTCGGCTCCTTAGTGGCTGTTCGACTTCGCTCCTTCGACGATTATCCTTTCCTGTCAGATCGGAAGTTTCGACATTTTGATCGGAAGCAACAACGGGAGCTCGCTGGCGTTGAAGGTAACTTTCTACCTTTCGCGCGCTTCTTTCGGCCAAATCCCATAAATCCGCCGAACCGAGGGATTTAGTAAATCCGGGATTTAAGCCGTAAATCCTTAAATCCGGGATTTATCAATCGCCGGGATTTAACGCGCGCACAAAAAACCGTTTGGCTGGATTTAGCGTAAATCCAACTTAAATTCCGCTGTAAATCCGATACCAAACAGCTCCTTAATAATCTCTCCGCTGTCTCATCCACATAGAGGAAAGGCCGTTTCTTTACAGAACTGACGGATAGTTGCAACTTTTTCGCCAGTAATTTTTTATATAACAGATAACTTATTCCTTCATCGGCGCATTGAAATGGCGAAAACTATCAAGCTCAAGCCTATGGATGCGACGCCGGTGAGCTTCGCGGAGTTTGGCCAGGTGATTTCCGCTTCTTCTGACAGGCAGAAGTTTGGACTGCAGGACGCTCAACTGGAGCTCCACCGCGGTACCCCGAGGTCATTCTGTATCTTCTGTTTCCCTTAGGGTTTTGACTTTGATGAATTGCGTTTCTCTTATGATTTCTATTTTAGCTTTTTATTAGCGAAGAGAACTGGGAATTTGTTATATGTGCAACTATATTTACTGACTAGATTAGGAGGATGAAGACTCTTACAGCGTTGAACTGCATAAAAAATTGTGTTTAATTCTTTAAGTTGATGTTCTTGTCACCTGAAAGGGGATTTTTCACGTCTTTTCACTAGAAAAGTTCATTTTTCAAATTTCAGATATAGGAGTTTTAGTTTATAGATAACCATAAAAATACGGGCAACATCAAATCTTGAGGATATGTTCTTCTAATTTGATTTTTTTAAATCTTATTTTATATTGGTATTTGTTGATTTTCATGCCAATGAAGATTGTGGCCCTACTTTTAAACTGAACAGTGGCAGTGCAGATAAAATGAGGATATAGGAGTCTTGGACAAGTGATTCACACCATATTGATCTTGAATTATATATCAAGTAGTATTAGTACAATTAAAAATGATTGATAGTGCTCGTTGATATATATTTCGAGGGTCAATGATATAACTGAGGTATTTAATAAAACATCAGTGAAACTACTCATTACAATCGATGGTTGTGGAATATGCAAGGAGTTCTCGACACTTGGGCAACTATAGTTCCTAATGATATTACACATTCATAACATAGATGAGGTTAAGCATATTGTAAGCAAAATAATATGTATGATGAAGAATTGCAAACAATGTTGTTCCCTTCACTGGAAGATCTCACAATGAGCAACATGAAAAATTTAGAGAGCTTGTGGGAAATAGAAGGAAGCAGTGCACAAGTTTTTTATGATATGCGAAAATTCTATTTTTGCTTGAAGAATATGAATATAAAAAACTGTATGAATTTAAAAGTCATTCCAGCTATACACTATATTCAAAAATTTATACTGAGCTCATGTAATGCAAATCTCAATAACCTTTTGTCATTCACATCAGATAAAAGAGTAGAATTTTTTCAACTACAAGAGCTTAATTTGTACTATTGCAAAGGCTTAATTCATTTTTCAGCTTGCCTTACATCCATCCGCTCTCTACGCATAAGTGAATGCTACAATCTTTAAGTCCTTGTCAAGACCGAAATGATTCACAAGGCTTCAAGAATTATACTTAAACAAATGTGATGGCTAGGTGTCTCTACCTCATTAGATGGAAGACCTCATAAAACTTGAGATTTCTGATTTTTTTGGACTGACGACATTACTAGAGGGCTTCACAAAACTTGAAATCCTCTTCTTGCATATATATATATATATATAAGTGGATTGAGATTCCACTCATAGCAAATCTTATTCATTCATTTATAAATATAAAATTAAATCTTCACTGTTCATTTATGACGCTTCATATTCTTTATTTTTAGGTTTCTCCAATACAATTCTTCAATCATTAATAAATTTAATTCCATATCGAGCATTTCATCAAAATATTTTTGCTCAAACCAAGCGTTTCGTCTCCCTGCAATTTTCAATTTCCGGGTGCGTGTTTCAAATGGTTATCTCATAACAAATATAAAAACGAATGATGTGCCACTTCCACCCACTTTCGCTATTCAACCTCTCTCCCCTTCGCTATTTTGCCACATCCAACCCTTCTCACATCTGGCCTTCCCTCATCGCCAAAAATCATCCTGCTTGCGTGAAAACCCAACTTGGCGTGAGGTCGCAGCTGCCCATATCTGCCGAAAAAAGGTTTGAGAATCAACCCCATTTGTCTTTCTTTTCCTATTTATGTTTAGGGATAAATCTGCCCTTGTCTTATTCTCTATTTTCTTAAGCTCTTCATATAAATATGTTTGAGCTCTGTAATTTTACGATAAATGCTGCAAGGCCATATTAGTTCCTCCAATTTAGTTTTTTTGTTCATTCGTTTTTATTTTCATGCTTAGTAACTTGCATCATGTTTATTTTCATTCATAATAACTCTGCTTCTCACCAGCACCGCTATTTCACCAATCCTTTTCTTATAGAGGCCATCATTTCCTCTTCCTCTCTGTTTTGAGCTAATTGATGGGTTGGCTACTGAGAATAACACTTGGATTGACTCTTCTTCTTCTTCTTTTAGCTTCTTTTTGCTCCCATGGTACCAGAATTATGGAGGCCTTCTATAGCAGGTAGCCGGAGTTGCCGAGGAATCCGAAATTCTTCTTTGGTTTCTTGCCAAAGGCACTGCCAATCCCACCTTCTGGCCCAGCAAAGCATCACAACTCCACTGGTCTTGCAAACAAGTGCATAGCTATATTTAACTCATCTATAGAGCTTTTTCTTCTCTTCTTGAGAAACTTTTTGATGACAGAGGGATGCTCATTTACATTCCACACCTGGAAAGAAGCTTTAGAAGAGAAGATATAAAGGGTTCATTAATTTTCGGTTCCAATTGCCGAATAACAAACCTTTCTCCAGTAGTAGTACTTTCCCATTGTCGGGTTTAAAATATTTTTTTTTAAACAATTCTCCCCTTTTACCTAACTTATGAGCGGTTTCTCCAAGCATTTTACTACCAAACAATTTTTAAGTAACACACTACTCCCCTTCGGTTTGGCTACCGAATGTTTATATTTTTTCAGTGCTTTTCCCTGAAAAATGATTCTGCAATCAAAAAATAACCTTAATGAACACATTGCCACTTCCAACCAAATGCATCACCTCTTTCTCACTCATCCACCTATTGCCAAACGCAGCAGGTTCTTCCCGCTCATCTCCTTCTCGCTATACAAGGCCACTGTGGTGTTCTCACGCCACAAACGATCCTCCCTCTCGCCAGATGAATCATCTCTCCCCAAACCCATCAACCCAACAGTCACTTTGATGGCTCCATCGTTGTACTTGTATTTCATACCAGCTTGCCGAACCATTATGGATTTTTTCAAGTGCGAGCTCTTTCACAGTTGATTGTACTGATTGCAGTCAATCATCCGTAATAAAAATCCACGTGATTGGTCTTCTTAATTAAATTAGCATTTTCTTAGATGACGTGGAGAACAGAGCATGCGAATGAATATTACTGATTAAGGATTTGTTTTCCTTCATCTTTTAAAACGAGATTTTCTAAGGGTAAATCGGGCCATATTTACTTTAAGATTTCTATAGATTTTAAGGGTTTAAGATTAGTGAAGTTTTTGGTTTCCAAAACAAGGCATATCAAGTTAAAAACAATACATTATTTTCAAATTTTATGCTCTCTTAAGGGAGGGGATGTAGTAGATGAGAAATAGAATGAGGGCACGAAACAGTCCCATTAAATTATAATGTTATGCAACTTAATATCCAGGTTAAATAATCACATTGATTGAAGAATTCTGATTACATAAAGTAGAACAAATTAATCTATAAGAATAACTATTAAGCCATTAAGAAATATTTTAATTTTATAGCGTAATTTCTCATTTCACTTTGGAATCCAATGAAAATTTTAAAGTTTGAGATGCATTTTTTTTCCTGTTAGTTTTCTGTTTGCTATTGCCAAGATTTTCATGCCCTGATATTCGGCCTAGTGCCTACTCATTGCTAACACCAAACTCAGAAACAATATCTGAATAGTGCTCATCAAAATTATTGTCACAATAAAATCTAAAGCAAAAGAAAGTTAGATAAGAGATGGGAAGTCGTCACATAATTTGCTAGCAAATATCAAAAAGCTGTAAAAACATAAACATAGAATTCTTTTCACGTCAATTTCATCATCACCATTAGCTTTTATCATAATTACTTATTGTCAGATCTACAAATTCTCCTCCTCCATTCATCTCTATTGAGTGATGTAGTTAGCTTTATTTAAAATGAATCTAACGTTTATTTTGGTTGCTTCATATTCATAAATGAACGGTTCATATTCATTCATGTTCGGTTCCAATAGCTGAAGAACAAACGTTTCTCCGATAGCATTAAGCTAAGTTCTCTCTGCCGGTGTTTAAAGAAAAAACAAAAAATTAAACACTTTTCCCCTTCTACCTCACTTATGAACGGTTTCTCTGAGCATTCCATTACCAAAAAATTTCAAGTTACACACTTCGCCCTTTCAATTTAACTACTGAATGTTTCTATTTTTTTCTGTGCGTTTCATTGTTGAACTTTTCAATAAAACGCCATTCTTCATGTTAATGGATTAAACTTCTTTTAGTTAAAATTTTTGTTATTATATTTTATGTTATAAACAAAAATTTTAATTATTCTTATTGTTTTTATTTCTTATTGCAACGAACTTCACTTCTTTATCTCATTATGGTATACCAGGAATTATCTCTCAAGTATTTACAGTTATATCTCTTAAGCCCATCAAATGTAGCTATTCAATGATTTAATATAATTTATAGCCAACTTCAAGTTGAGCAAAATTGAACTGGCATTTGGGTTTTATGCAAAAATTGAAGTTTTATTTTTTGGATTACTTTAAGTTTATATTGAGTTAATCTTATTCCAACCATATTAATTAGCCTAGGGGTTGAGATGTCAATTAATAGATTTTCTTAGGTACTTAATGAAAAAAATTTAATTAAATGAATATATTATGAATTTCACCATAACAATTTACTTGAAGAAAATTATGATAAATATGAATTTATCTGGCTACTTATTAATTTTATACAGATAGATAAAACTAAAGATAAAGTTCAAAATGTAATTTATGAAAAAACTTTTGTACTGTAAGCATCTATGTAAAGTTGTCAAACAAAGGTAAGTATTTGGGTTAGCAATCATCAATTTTCACTTATCAAACTTCAGCTAAACTTGTCTTTAGTTTTTATTGTTACACTTTCAAATGTTTATGGGTATCTACAAGTCTATAATAATGGGCATAATAATATTTTTTGGTTCTAAATTTTTATAAGCATTTGTATTCACTTGTGAACTAACGTGGTTATTAGATCCAGAACAAGCATTTTTTTTCTGAAGCTGGTCACATTTTTTAAAGAGTAAATTAACATGAAATTGAAAATATGTT